TAATGATTAAGGCCCCTATAGTATGTACGTGACCTACCCCAGAGAAAAATCCAAGTCAAACCCCAGAACCGACGAAAGCCTACGTAAACCATATCAAGCCGAATCAAGCCTCGTAGAACCCTTATCAATCGGTGTCTGAAAACCCTTAAAAGAGACCCTAAGAGCGAGGACTTCGGCATGGCTTAGGATCCGGTGGGAAGGGCTGGCGATCTCCCTCCCAGCAATGCTTCATGATTTCAGTCCTGGCCGGATCTCTGGATTTGGATTGAGGATTTGTTTCGATTCTTGCCGGAGATTATGGGTGATTGGGGCGGTGTCTGATATAACATTCCACGCATAGGCCCATAGGACTGAGGGTCGATTTGGCCACTGCAGCTCAGTACCTGCCTTAGCAGCAAACTACGGTTGATGGACAAGACTCTGCATGACCCAAATATAGTATANNCCATAAATCCCATACTTTAGGTATATAAGGTCATGCAGGATTTTGTCCATCAACAGTAGTTTTGCGTCGAGGTCACCCCTCCGAGTCTCTAAACTGTCTGTCGATCCGAGACCCTAAACCCTAAACCCTAAACCCTAAACCGCCCAAGCCCGAAGCACGAAAGATGCGGTTCGGATAGGGCTAGAATGATTGTATCATACAAGGATTACACCCTAAACCCTAGACCCTAAAAAGGATGCTGCTGGTAATCATTCCAACCCCTGGAATCCCTAGAATATGGGAGTTTCAGAAAATTAGGGCACCTTATTTTGGGGTCCTTATAATAGGGATCCGATTATTTAGGGTACTATATTAGGGTCCCCTATTTTCGGAAACCCCCATATCAATCTCGCATCGATCGCGGAGCCGAGGTTCGCAGTTCGCAGGCTGAGGTCTTTCTTGGGAGGGGGGCGTTCGGGTTTTGGGTTTGGGGTTTACCTTAAGAACCCAAAACCCACTTTTTTTGTAGGTTCTTACTATAAACCCTAATATGGGATTTATAGGGACCCTACAAAAAAGTAGGTTTTGGGTTCTTAAGGTAGAGGTGGTCAGCAAGTGTAGAGGTCCTCCGATGGAAGTTCGACTGGTAGATCGGAAAGCGCATCTGTGCTGCGCATTTCAGCAAGGACAGCAGGTTGGAAACCTTCTGGAGTGTCCTGGAGGCACCGCCAAGAGCGGAACGAGTAAGGATGCTTCTGGCAGTGGTGGCATACCAACAACAACTACTCACTAGATCTGCCAAAAAAAGACCCCCAGAACTTACCCAGTGTCGCTGTCGAGAGCTTGTAGGAGTCAAGCACTTGATCAAGCAAGGGTGATCTGTCCCCAAAATCTGGCCAAAGACGTCGCGCCACATGGTCGGCATTCAAGTCGTCATACACCCACATATAGTCGGTGAAGTGCGCCTAAACCCTAAACCCTAAACCCTAAACCCCTAAACCCTAAACCCCTAAACCCCTGAACCCTAAACAAGGACCCAGGAGCCCACATGCTTGGCATTGCGTCTTGCTTCGGCCCGAGAGCCGCGCGGCCAAGCAAGTTGATCTGTGCATCGAGCAGTCCTCAGTTCTCGGAAAATTAGACATTATTATATTATATTATATTATATTATATTATATTATATTATATTATATTATATTATATTATATTATATTATATTATATTATAATATATATTATATTTATATTATATTATAT